CCCCGGGACCCGGGGAGGCGCAGGCTAGAGGAGGAGGAGCGCGGCCAGCGCCCGCGGGCCCGCAGGAGGCCGAGGGCAGACGCGGGCACGGCCCTTGCTGCTGCCCCGGCGTCTTTCTCCGTCTTCCCAAGCGCGGTACCCATGGGTGCGAAGCCGGGCTCCGCGACACCTACACAACTTCCGAAGCTGAGAATGACCGCGTTGTCAACTTGTGTGGGTGCTCTGTACAACTTTTCTTGAAGGGATGGCTGTGTTCTGGTTTTTTTTAAAGACTTTTCATGTCAAGATTCTTAGCACCTGAAAGCAATGAAAAATTATGCGTAATTAAGCAGTTTCTATAACTGCGGCCATTACAGTTGTAAGCATCCAGTTTAATTCAGTAACGCTTTTCCGGGCCTGCACAGGCAAAGTCTGAGATGAGAGGTGGGCAGGAGGATGAAAGAGATTTGCCCTTGTTCTCAAGAGGGTCACTATCTTAGTGAAAAGAAGAGAGAGGGAGACATTAGAACAAACACACACATGGGGAATAGTGGTAAACTGTACCTAGGAGCAGGCAGGTGTGCTATGGAATAGGAGCGGAGGGAGACTTCATTTCCTAGGGAAGGGCACTTTAAAAAAGATGGAGAGAAGACTTTCTATACACGTAGCCGCTGGAGCCAGGGCACAGAAGTAGGAAAGTGCTTATTGGTTTGCAGAACTGACACTAGATCTATATGCTTCGTGGAAGTGGGAGGGTGTCCCATGAGGATTAAGACCAGAACGGTTGGGGCCAGAATGCGGAGGCTCTACAAGTGCCTAAAACATGTGGATTTGATGCTGTAAATAAAGGTTTGGATTAGAGTGATATAATAACACCTGTGTTGCGAAGAAGCTGCTCCTGGCTGTACAGGCACCTGTACAGGTGGAGTTTGAGGCACAGAACTGTTATGTAACTTTCCAAAAATGACATAGCCAGAAAGTGATGGAAAGAGGGCTGTTTCTAAATCTGGTGCTTTTAACTATTTTGTGTTATTCTTACATTTTTTTGTAGAACACCATTAGCATAACAAACTGTAGAGTTTAAAAGTCACCTTATTCGGATTTGTTTTGTGCCTTTAACTGGAATGTCTGCCTTCATTCTTTAGCTCACAAGGTTGTCTTGAATAACCTTGGGTCACTCTTCAATTTGAATTGTTCCTCATTCTTCTAGACTGAACCTTAGTTATTCAGACTAGTTTTATGATTTCATTACAAATGTAGTCTTTTACTGCTTTCCAACATGACCCCAGCTTTTTTAGAAAGGCTAGTCTCATTATTTTGGTTCGGAACACATACTAAATTGTTCTTTGAACTCTTAAGTTCCTTGATGGGGGAGAACTGCATCTTACTACATTGTTGTAGATTTTTAATAAAGTCTGATACAATTGACCTTAGGTTGCCCCTGTCAATCAGGATTCCCCAACCAGGGTCTCTAACCAGGCTTAGGTAGAATTCCTCTCTTCTTTGTTATTTTGTTACAAATCCCCAGGAATGTTATGTTGTAACATGGGCCACTTCATATTGCAAATTATCTGTTTAT